CCTTTGTTACTAGTAGCTTCTTGTTCCTAGGCATTGCTCCTAAGTGTGAGAACCCAACCAAGATTTCTAGATTCTAGATAGTATGGATGTCTTCTGTCCGTCTCTCCATACAAATGACAAATGGGTTGAAGACAAGCGGTTTTCTTCGAACCACTGCCTAGGTACAAACCTGGTGCATTCTCTCGTTCGTTTTGTCGGCATAACAATAGGGTCTTTTCTTTGTGTGTCTTGGAGTTTAGTTTTGGGCAGGGAGAAGAAGAAGCAGAGGTGGCTCCTGCAGTACTTTCGTTCCTTTATTTTGAAGCAACAATTTGGGACATGTTGCACAGGCAGAGGAGGATGAAAAGGGTGAAAAGGGTGAAAAGGGCGAAAAGGGCGAAAAGAAGGGTGAAAAGGGCGACAGGAAGTCCAAAGCCAAGGCCTAGCAGGATGAATCAGAAGTCCAACCACATCGAGCAATTTTGTTGCAAGGGGAAGGACGCCAAGAGCGGTACAAGGTCAAGAACACGAAGGACAGCACAGCACATCTGGGTAGCACAAGTGTAGCGCAGTAGGCAAGCTTGGATAAACCAGGGACTAGTGCTCAATTCGGACTGCGCTTCAGGAGAGGTAGCAGAAGTCGAGATCGCCGTGGGAAGGACCACGGATCAGCCTGGTTCACCCTTTGATCAAACATTGTCGAAGTCACTTCTTCTTGGGTGGGTAGGCCACTAAAGAAGTGTGTAGGAGAGGTAGTTTAGGTAGCTGGTACCTGGTAGTAAGAAGATGTTCGGTAAGATGACACTAGAAGTAAACATGCTTGCTAGTAGCTAGGACACAGAAGTGCTTGTTTTTTCAAGGGAACTTCTCCCACCTAAAAGCAGAAGAACTCTTTGTATGATGGAAATAGGAGCCTAGATTCTTAGGGAAACTTCAAAATCAAAGAGCTCTAAGTGCTGTTTTCCTCAAATAACCTGCTCACAGGAGCGCGGCAGAGACCGGTCACATCGCCGCAGCAAAAAGGTGCCTTGATCAACTTTTATTGTTGGATGTTTCAGTTTGTAAGGTACTTGGTACATTTTCTTACAATCTATATTGAACCTTCAGAAGTTTTGTAGAGGGCCCTTCATGCACGCCAAGACCTTGCTTCGTGTTTCAATATGTGCAGGAGCGGCGGAAGCGCAGCTGCAGCAGCAGCCGCAGCTGCAGCCGCAGCCGTGGCCGACGAAGACGATGAGAGCTGAAGTGTGAATGGACTTGGATAGCAACCACCTCCACCAACCAACACCGCCGCAAGGGCAACAGCAAGAGTAGCAGGTCGCCACCAGCGCAAGCAACCGCCACCCCCACACCCTCACCCCACAAACACAACATCGACAACACTATGCCGTCACTATGCTAAAGAGGTGACAAGCTCAAGAATAATGCATCAACAGCTTGCCTGATGTTGGGCAATATATAAAGCTTAGCTAAGGGATGCAGCATTTTGGGGACTAAAACAAAGACTCCTGTCGTGCGCGTAAAAGAAAAGTTTGCACACCGTGAGCTGGAGCGAAAGGTTTCTGTCATTCTTTTTGGCACAGCAGCATGTTTTATCCGCTAGGACAGATCGAATCAGGTCCAGAATATTTGAGCCAGAAAGTTGCATCTCCTTTGGGTGAGATTGGTCCACATTCATGTCTGTCCCAGGGTCAGACTTTGACGAGCTCACCGAGCAGGCCCCGAAACCTCCGCGTGCAGAGTGTTTTTTGCCTCAATATGAGTGTTGCTTTCGCCTTTGGGTCGGCTCAAGGACGTAATACGTAACGAAAAATCTAAGAACCAAATCAATCATGCGAAGAAGCTTGAGCTATCCAGTGTCCTGTCGCCAAACATCCAGCTATCCTGCGTCCTTGGTAGTAGCGACTTACGCTACTAGCTACCGTTTGCTTCTACTAGCTACCTAACTACTACCTCTTCTCGGCCTATCCCCCCCCGGGCCTTTAAAACCACTATTTATGCGCTTCTGAGCATTCCTGCCTCCGGGAGCATAGAAAATCAACTTAAGCTTAGTAGCTTACCCTACTATATACTCTTATCACGAAAGCTAGCACCAGCTAGCTGGAGTTGTCCTTGCTTTAGCAAGTGAGGGGCTGGAATCCTCGAGATCGCCGCATCACGTGAAAACTTCATATGTAGGCCCCCCCCCCTCCCCCCTCCCTCTTATGGCATCCACTTTGGTTTAACTCCTCCGGGATACGGTGCAACAGATTCAACAAGCTCACAGGTTCATGACATCGACATTGATAGAAGAAACCAAGTAACTCATGCAAACAGCTTTGTTTTGCCTCTGGGACACCTGTTGGGCACCTCTTATGGCATCCACTTTGGTTCAACTCCTCCATGGAGGTTTTGGGATACGGTGCAACAGATTCAACAAGCTCACAGGTTCGTAAACACATCGGATGCATCGAATAGTGTGGCAAAGTCCAGCCACGCTTCCTTAATTATCGGGGACTTCAATTCTAAGGTTGGCTGTGTCATTGCTGTTTGTGTGTCTTATATGTTCACAACGTTTTACCTCATGAGCATTTGCCTCAATCCGCTTGATGTCCCACCAGTCCGGATGCACCCCTGCTAGCTTTTGTCACCTACCCTCGGCCTCAAGTAGCTATGCTGAAGCCTACCACATCTTCCACCTCACCTCGCGCGGCCAAACCCCATTAAAAGTCAAGTCTGAAGTTAAGTTTCTCAACAAGTCTAGGAACCAAATCATTAGCGCGTGAGCTATCCTGCGTCCAGTAGCTAGAAGCTAACTTAGCCTAGTAGCGAACTAGTTTCTCCCCCTACTTTATTAAGTAGGCCCCTACTTAATTTAGGAGGCAGGGCCTCAGGCTTAAAGAAAGTAACACTTTTTCATTCTTCTCGACTCCTAGAGGTGGCTGTTCACCTGGATCGAGCTTTTGATCGAGCACTTTTCATCTCTAGCGGGCTTCCTGGAGTGCAGGAGCATTTCTTTAGCAATTCTTGCATTCTTCCGAATTCTTCCTGCTGAAATTACGCTTTCATTCTTTACGTTAATTGATGAGAAAGGAGACCGTTGCAAAGAGCTGCAAGGCCTCGAAGGCACGGAACGCTTTGACTGATTCAACTGGTTGTTTCAAAAAGAAGGGCTGAGTCCTTCGGTCCTTTGACCGAGGTTTATACTTTGACTTCTGACGGCATTTTGGATGGACGAGATCTTGGTATGCTTTTAGACTCACGCAGTCCAAGAATGAAGTAGTATCAGTGGGTGTATACTTATCTCCAAGCAAGCACCCTAAGGCCAGAAGATGGTGCTTTTGAAGGTCAACTGCCAGGATGTACAGCCAGTACCTGAGTAGTTTCCCAAGATGTACTAAAAGCATTGTTTCCTTTTTTCCCATGCCCCAACAATGTGTCTCAAAGTGTGTCACTTGACCAAGGAGCTTGTTGGCATCCATTGGGGATATTTACATCACCATTGAGGGCGGCCAGGATGTTGCAGAGCAGGCAAGTGGCTTCAAAAACAGAGTCGGTTTAGTTGATGTCAAACTAGATCCAATCCAGGCAAATGCAGCTTTCTCGCGGGGGGCTGCAGCTACGTCCTCAATTTTGGAAACTCTTACTGTAGATGAATCTTACAGGTTATATTATACCCGCCGAGGTGATCCCGGTGATATGCACTGGTGGTGCCAGCCGAAGCCTTACTTGGCAGGATACAGCCTATTTTGTGCACCAGTTTCCCTAGAATTCTAGGAATTTTCAAGTACCCTTAAAATTGGGGCAGGAGGTAAGCTACATATATATATATATATATAAATGCATCTCTTGCGGCTAAGACCCCTTTGCTAGAGCTCTTAGTCTTCGCTGTAAGAGATGGCATTCTCCACGTAGGCTCTGGCATGTTCCACTTCCCCGCTGCAGCTTTGAAGAAGCCGGACTTTGTAAGCAAGGACTGAGCGGCTTTGCGAGTCTGAGCGGCTTTGCGATTAGCCTGCCCAAGCTGTTTTTTCCCGAGCCTCATCCCTTCTAATGGTGTCAGGATGGGTTTGCTGTGAAACAGCCGGAGCTGTAGTAAGGAAGCTAGCAAGCTGTCGGTAAGTAGCGACTAGCAGCAAGGAAGCAGAAGAGCTTGGGTTTTTCAATGGATCTTCTCCATTCTGAGGGCCGGAGAAGCTTCCTCCCAAAACCTTCCTTCGTTGTAAATCTTAAACAACAACTGAAATTTGAGGCAAACATATTCATATCTTGGAGATCTTGCTTGAGCAGTTGATGTGAGGAGCACTGGTCGTTTATCACAAGCAGAATCTCTCCACACTGGCAAGCTGCAACTGCATTTGCTGTAACTGCAAGGCCCCAAAGGTTTCTCCACACTGTAAGTGTGGCATGTTGACTGCGGTCATGCTACACTGACTTACAGACAAGGCTGTGGTTGCCGGCTACTCCCGTGGACAGACAAAGTGTAGTGAATATGGTCAGTGCCTCGAGGGTCTTGAGAGCCTGGTCGCAGCTTGATGGCTTTGGTTCTGTTCAAGATGCAAAGCGTCGCAGAGCTGCCTGAGGTTCTTTGAAGACACTCAGAGAGCAGAAGCGCATGGAACGCCTTGCTGCCATGACCTGGAAGGTGGAGTCTTGTCCTTCCAGTTGACTGCAAGAAGAAGAAAGGGATGAAAACCCAAGAACATAAGGGCGCCCTTATCTTGATTGTTTTACATCGCTTTTTCGTACTGCAGCCTTCTTCTTTGTTGTTTTCAGCACATGCGATCTTTCAGAGCACAGAGCAACAGGGCTCTCCTTGGCTTTCGCCATACATGGAGAAGCTGAGCCCAGCGGTTGACATACTTGGCCACACAATCTCTGTCGTTCTCTGAGCACTTTTGGTGTCTCCTTTGGTTCCACCTTTGTCAGAAGTCGTACTGAGGTAGTTGGTCCGCCTGTTTACTGGTTCTACGCAGGGCTGTACCGAAGCTACAAGGCACGCTTTTGATTGGTTGAAAGATTTGTCTGATTCTATGTGTATGTCAAATAGCATATATATATATATATGTATGTATGTATGTATGTATGTATATATATATATAAATGAGCTGCCGACATTGCCTTGTTGAAGAACA